TACAAGGAAAACCTACAGGAATATTATAGTCAAATCCCAAAACCCCCAGTTCAAGGAGAAAATATTATAAGAAACAAGAAAAAAATAATTCCAATATGGGGGAGCCACATTTAGAATCATACAGGATCTAGCAGCAGCAACACTAAAAGACTGAAGGTTAGAACATTATATATCGAAGAGCAAAAGAACTGGGGTTGCAGCCAAAAATATCATACCCAGCAAAGTTAAGCATAATCCTGAGTGGAAAAAAATTGGATATTCAACGAATTGCCAGACTTTCAGGATTTTATTGTAAAAAACACCTGAACTTAATAGAAAATTTGTCATTCAAGATCTAAGAGAAAATATAAGTTAAACATCAAAGGCTAATTACAATGGACTCAATAAGGACAGACTGTTTACTTTTTATACAAGGAAATGTAAACCATATCTCTAAGGTTGTAATTAGTTATTGGGTAGTTTAAAAGAAAGATTAGGGTAGAGCTGAGTATGATGTGATTCTAAAAAGTAATACCATCTAAGAAAAGGTAAAAAGAGTAATTATACAAATGAGGTGTGAGAGGAATTAGATGGGGGAGGAAGGCTAATAGTTCTGGAACCCTACTCTCATCAGAATGGGTTAAAGAGGGAATAATACATACATATATATACATATATATGTATATATTTTATATATATATATCTAGAAGGGTATAAAAGTCTTCTAAATTCAGAGAGAAATAAAAGGCTAGGGGGCTAGGGAGGAGAGTGAGATTTTTAAAGGGAACCCTGCTCACATCGGATCTGGGTTAAAAGGAGAACAATATATACATTTAGAAGGGAATAAAGTCTTCTAAATTTATAAAGAAATAAGAGGGTGAGGGAATAGGATAAGGGGAGTATTGAAGGGGGTCTAGATTAATGGGAATGGGATAAAGAGGGAACAACATATATATTTGGAAGGCTATAAACATCTTCTAAATTCAGATAGAAACAAGAGGATAAGGGAAAAGGGTTGAGTGGGGGGAAAGGATAAGGGACAGATCCTTGGAGGGGAGGTAGATTAAGTAATAGAAGGGCAAGGTAGCAGGTAGGGGAGTCAGAAGGGATAAGAAACAAGAGATACACATACATAAAATAAAAATCAGGAGTAGAATTTATTAGGGGAAAAAAGCAGGGGTAGTAACCATGATCTCAGACAAAGTTAAAGCTAAAATAGATTTAATCAAAAGAGAAAAATAGGGAAATTATAGTATATGTCAGCCATATTAATCAATATTGTTTTAGAAGAATTAAAATAACTAGGCAGTATAAGGTTGGAATATTGCTGTGGTGGAGGAAATGATGAGTTGGTGGATTTAGAAAAATATGGAAAGATTTGGACTTATGAAGGAAGATGTTATCCATTTTCAGAGAAACAGAGCACAAATATGTCTTACATAGATGCATAGGAATGTATATGTTTATATAGTGTATGATTATAGATATCTATGTATGCATATGTATATATAAGTATATGTATGTATGTATGTTTGTGTGTGTATATGTATGTATATGAATGTGTATATATGTGCGTGTATATACACACATATATGTATATATATGCATATCCATATATATATATATATATATATATATATATATGGATATGGATATCCACACTTAATTGTAGCTTTCTTGGGGAAAGTTGGGGGAAGTGGGGAAAAAGAACAAAGTAAAAAGTGCACAGCAAAGAACAAAATAAAACCTATGAGAAAGTAAAGAAAAGGTGGGCAACTCTGAACACAATGTCTAGCATTTATTATATAGGTTTTCTTGAAATGGAAATTTATTGCTTTATATTTTGAATCCTTTCTTATGTTCTGCTGTGCACATGGCAATGTTTTATTTTTCTTTTCTTATTTTGTATTTAAGTGTTACTATTTGAGTTTGTTTTTTCTTTCTTTTCCTATTTTGTATTTAAGTTTAAAATTTTAAAAAAGAGATGTGAGTTGGCCCATTTTTTTCTAGAAAACAATTTGGAATTATTTGAGAAGTCACTAAAATGTGTATACCCTTTGTTCCACTGATCCATCTACTGGCCACAGGTCTCAAGAAAGAAAAGTTCAGGGGGCAGCTAGGTGGCGCAGTGGATAGGGCACCAGCCCTGGAGTCAGGAGGACTCAGACACATAACACTTACTAGCTGTGTGACCCTGGGCAAGTCCCTTAACCCCACCGCCTAGCCAAAAAAAAAAAAATAAAAAAGAAAGATAAGTTCATACTTGCCACAATATTCATAGTGGTACTTTTGAATAGCAAAAAAAAAAAAAATAGAAACAAATTTGGGAATGATAGGAAAAATTATTCCATTTTAATATAACAATGCTATTGTGCCATGTTATTGTTGTTTAGTCATGTCTGACTCTTTGTGACCCTGTGGACCATAATACACCAATACTGTCTATTGGGTTTTCTTATCAAAGATTCTGGAGTGGTTTGCCACTTCCTTCTCCAGTTCATTTTATAGATGAGGAAGCTAGGGCAAACAGGATTAAGTGACTTGCCCAAGGTCACACAGCTAGTTAAGTTTATGAGGATGGGTCTGAAATCGGTTCTCCCTGACTCTAGGCCCAGCACTCTATCCACTGAGCCACCTACCGGCCTCCTATTGTGCCACAAGAAATCATAAATAGAAGTAATTCAGAGAAATATAGTAATACTTGTATGAACTGATGCAAAAGGAATTAAGCAGAAGAGAACAATATAACATAGTGTAAATGAAAAAAAAACTCTAAATGGTATCCAAAGTCTCATTAACTGTAATGACCAAGCTAGCTCTTAAAAAATAGAAAATGATATACATTTCCCTCTTCTTGGTATAAGGGTAGGGGCCTATGGGTGCAGAATGTTATGTTTGCTATCAGGCTTATCTCACCTTTCCCTTTCCTCTGATCTGGGCTCCAGTATGCTAAAAACTTAATCTATTTCTTTTATATACCACTATCTATTGCTACTGTATCAGTATCTGAGGAGAGTGCTTTGTAGAACAGATATGTAGAAAGGGGACAGATCTGGTACTATTCCTGATCAGGTGGATACCTCCAGGAAAGCCTTTTACATTTGTTTCCCCATATCTAGAATAAATATCAATATAAAGAGATGAGTTAAAGCAGTGAAAAGAGCACTGGAATTGGAAACCAAAAAAGCTGGGTTCAAGTCCCAGCTTACTAGCAAATATTACTGGTAACACTTACTAGTTGTATTAACGTGGACAAATAACTTTATCTCTTCTAATTTTTGTAAAATGGGGATGGGAGGTATCAGATTAGATGTCAGTAAGAATAAATTGATTTATTTTTTCTTTAAAAGAAGTTACTGATAACTTTGTCCCTATACCAAGGGCATCTAGGTGGTACAATGGAGAGAGCTCCAGGCTTGGAACCAGGAATACTCATTTTTGTGAATTCAAATCTGCCCTCAGACACTTAGTAGCTGGGTGACCCTGGGTAAATCACTTAACCCTGTGTGCCTCAGTTTCTTCATATGTATAATGAACTGGAGAATGAAGTGGCAAACTACTCTAATATCTTAGCCAAGAAAACCCCAAATGGAGTTATGAAGAGTCAGACATGACTGAAAATGACTGAACAATCTGTCCCTATATCATAGTCATCTCCAAAAATGCCCACTCCATCCTCCCCCCCATCTTCTACCCCTGCAAATTTAACCCCCTTGAAACAGGAAAACAGGAAAAAAACCAATTGCCAAAATGACCTTGTCTGATAGCTTATGCAAAACTTTGTACCTGTAGTCCCCACCTCCTTCGAAGGGGAGAAACCTATGTCATTTGATACTGGAGAGTATCAAGATTGGTTATTGCAATTAATTTGGATTCGTTTGCATATGTTTGAAAAGTAGTCAGTATCCTATCATGATATCCAGTCATCATATCACATCATCCAGGAGAGATCATACAGTCTAATGGCAGACATTAAAATTACAGTATTTTCTACATTATCCCCTAGGGGAAAGGCCGGAGTGCTTATTAACCACGATTTCATTTTGAGTTTCATAATAACCTGGACAGAATAACAGCTCAATCTAATTGGAGGATTGGGGAACATCCCCTACCACTCGCCTCTCCTCCCCAGTCAGCTCCAGCAGCTGGAGAAGGTGTGTGAAGTTTGGAGAGGGAAGGTGTGAGCAACGTCAATCAGTGTCGACAGAGTAGTGTTTAATGCTGCTGGTCTGCTCAGGCAAGACAATACGGAGGTAGCAGCAAGCAACCAAACCTGTCACCTGGAAGGGAAGCCCCAGCAGGGCTGATAGTCACCAAGTCCTTGGTCTGGGGGTGGGGGTAGGAGGAAGTACAGGGTGGGGGAAGGTGAGGGAAAGAGGGGGAGGTGCAGCTGATATTTCAAGGTTTCTAAACCCAAAGTTCTCTATGAGATAGTGGGAGGCACAGGGGTCTGGGAGGTAGGAAATTGTGCCCTTCTCTCATCTCTGCCATTGTGTGACTTCAGGCAAGTCACTTCTCCTTTTGGTGGCCTCAGTTTCCTCATCTGTAAAATGAAACATTTGATCCTAAATGATCTCTGAACACCCTTCCAGTTCTAACATTCCAAGGTTCTGTGTCTTAGTGCAGAGTCAGAAATAATTCCCCAAAAGAAGATAGACAGCTCCCTATTGCCAGAATCCCTTGCTATATTGTTGTTCAATCGTGTCTGACTCTTCATGACCCTTTCGGGGGTTTTCTTGGCAGAGATACTGGAGTGGTTTGCCATTTCCTTCTCCAGCTCATTTTACAGATGAGGAAACTGAGGCAAACAGGGTTAAGTGATTCACTCAGGGTCACACAGCTAGTGTCAGGCCAGATTTGAACTCAGGAAGATAAGTCTTCCTGACTCCAGGCCTGGTACTCTATCCACTGGGGGGACCTAGCTGTCCCCCTGCTATATAGCCTGTTATATAATTTCTGTGGAGTGCTATAGAAAATCTATGCAGCTTCTAGCTGCAGAAACCTTTCAGATCATTTCTTACCTTCAAATTTGCCAGCATTCTCCTCTTGCAGGCTTTGGGGCTTCACCAAACCCAAACACAAAGAAAGTATTTGGCTAAAATGCTGCTTTTTCTAGGAAACAGTTCTTAATCCAATCTCCCTCCTTCCTTCTTCCTACCTATCTGCTAGCAGTGAACTGCTAAGAGGAATATCCAAACTGCTTGGTGTGCAAGTAATAAAGTCCAACAAGCCTTGCTTAAGGTTATTGACATTGCCTTACATGGTCTGTTTGTAGTGTGTGTTTAAAATCAGATCAGAGCTATCATGGTTGCAAGGATTTCTTTTCGAGTTATTGACTAGGGGACAAAGGAGACAGGATAAATATCAGTGCAATGAAGGCAAGATAAAAAAAGGGGTGGTACAACTTAGGGACCTTTAAATGGAGAGGATTTGCAGGGCATTTGAATAAAGTAATTTCTCTCGCTGGGCTTATCTTTAATTATTTTAGTGACCCAAAAAAACATTTTCTTGTCCCTTCTCCACCTCTCCCCCACTCCATATTCGGGGGGGAAAAACGAAAAAGAAAAACCCTTGTAACAAATATGCATAGCCAAATAAACCAAATTTCTATATGACCATGTTTTAAAAAAATGTTTCATTCTATATCCTGAGTCCATCACCTCTCTGTTAGAAGATGGGTAGCATGCTTTATTATTATATCCCCAGGAATTGTGACTGGTTACTGCATTCATCAGAATATTTCAAAGTTGTTCGTCTTTATAATGTTGTTATTCTATAAATTGTTCTCCAGGTCTACTCACTTCACTTTGCATTAGTTTATACAAATATTTCCAGGTTTCTCTGAAACCATTCCCTTCATCATTTCTAATAGCACAATAGTATTCTATTACATTCAAATGCCCTAATTTGTTCAGCTATTCTCCATAGATGGGCACCTTCTTAGGCTTCAGTTCTTTGCCACTACAAAAAGAACTGATATAAACATTTTTGTATGTATGAGTCCTTATTCTTTCTTTGATCTCTTTGGGAGTAAAACTTAGTAGCAGTGAAAGGATATGTAGCTTATTACCTTTTGGGGCATAGTTCCAAATTGCTTTCCAGAGTATCTGGACCAAATAAGAGTTTTACCAACAGTGCATTAAAGTGTCTGTTTTTTTCCATACTGCTCTAACTTTTGTAATTTTCCATTTTTGTCAACTTTGCTAATCTGATGGGTATGAAGTGAAACCTCAGAGTAATTTTGATTTGTGTTTCTCTAATTATTAATGATTTGAAGCATTTTTTTCATATGGCTATTGATGGCTTGAATTTCTTCCTTAGAAAACTGCCTGTTCATGTGATTTGACCATTTAACAACTGGGGCATGTCTTTTATAAATTTGAATTGCTTCCTTACCTATCTTGAAAATGAAGGGGCAGCTAGGTGGCACAGTGGATAGAGCACTGGGAGTCAGGAAAATCCAAGTTCAAAGGTAGCCTCAGACACTTACTAGCCATGTGACCCTGGGCAAGTCACTCAACCTCAGTTGCCTCAAAAAAAGATGGGAAAAAATGAGACTTCTATCAGTGACAAGCTTTTTTTTTTTTTATCCTGTACTTGAACTAGAGAGCCTAGATGGGACATAATAAGAAGTAACCTTTGAAAAAAAAAAAAAGAAGTAATCTTTGGTTTCTTACTAGCTACAGCCTCTCGACAAAACCTAGGGCGCAGAGTGTTTGGTTTAAAGAGCAGCCAGAAGCCAGTGTCACTGGAGGGTAGAGTGAATGCGGGAATAAAGTATAAAAAAAAAATTTTAAAGAAAGGAAAGGACCCTTGTACAGGGTCAAACAGAAGATTTTTTATCTTGAAGTTAGTAGGAAACCACTGGAGTAAGGGTGAAACTTGTCCTTTAGGAAAATAACTGGGGAAGCTGAGTAGAGGAGACTAGATTAGAGTGAAGAGAAACTCGAAGAAGGGAGACCAGGGGGACGGCTATGCAATCGTCCAGGCTCTTGAAAATCCAGCGGTAGAAAAGCCTGCATCGGATGGTGACTATGTGAGTGGAGAGAAGGGGAGGTATATAAAAGACGTGAAGGTAGAAACGATAAGATTCGGCAACATAATGTGTACGTGAGTGGAGAAAGGATTTGAGGGCGATACTGAGGTTTCAAGTCTGAGCGCCTGGGAGGATGGTGATACTCTTACAAGACAGTTTTTTTTTTGGGGGGGGGAGACATAATGAGTTCTGCTTTGTGCATTTTGAGTTTGAGTTCATCCTCGTACATTCTAAGGACGTATTTAACAGTTGCCTGATTCCATATAGCCTTTATAATTTGGGGGGGGGGGTATTCTCAACCCAACTCCCATTCCCACTGAAGGGTTGGGTCCCCCAAAGCACATTTCCTCTTGGTTGGGGGTGAAGACTTGAGGTGTTGGCATGTCTTTCTCTAATGCTATTAGGACTGGAGCGCTGATGAGCAGTTTTGTGTTCTCAGTATCAATCTCATTATAGCTGATTGCTCCCTGTATCATCAATACCCTCTAGTGGATTAATGCCCTAGTACCATTTAACTAATCAGTACTGTAAAAATTAATTCATTTTTTACAATAATTTGTAAAATGTTTGTAAATTTCCTGAGAGCAAGACGTTACAAAGCATTTCCCTCCCAACACCGAGGGGTACACTCTCCTCTATACCACCTTGGTCCTTACAGAAAATAGGATCATCTTTAAAGCAGTTTCTGTATAGTATTTGCTCTACCAAGTTCACTTCCAAATGCATAGCTAGATAGATGAGTTGTTTACATTCGGTTTTGGCTGCCTTCTATCCACTTAGTCACTTGAGACTGAAATCCCCATTAGGCTTGGCTGTCTATAAAACCCGGCATGGATTCAAGCTCCTAGACTTCTAAAGGCTCACTTTCCTGACCTGAATTTCACAAGGTCACAGCCTTCACCTAAGAGTAGGAAAACAAAACAAAACAAAACAAAAAATCCCAAAACCATAAAGACGTAAAGAACAGTCATGTACTAGCAACTTCCAGCTAACTGTATTAGTAATAAGCCAAGATGCTAAATTCTATTTAAATCATTCTGCTAATGTATGGATGGTTTCCATGATTCCCAATGCTTTCTATGTGGTAATAAATGACCTGTCCTATTCTGTATTCATACTGTGCACTGGGCTCCTTTTCTACTTCCTTTTCCTTCCTTCCTTCCTTCCTTCCTTCCTTCCTTCCTTCCTTCCTTC